TACATAGAGCACACACACACAGTGCCCAGTTACAGCGCACACAAACATAGAGCACACACACACAGTGCCCAGTTACAGCGCACACAAACATAGAGCACACACACACAGTGCCCAGTTACAGCGCGCACACACACACACATACAGCGCCCACTTAGAGCACACACACCCGCACACTGTGCGCTGTTACAGCCCACACACACACACACACAGCGCCCACTTAGAGCAAACACACAGACACACCCCGGTTAGAGCTCTCTCTCTCTCACACACACACAGTGACCAGTTAAAGCGTGTGCACATGCACACAGTCCCCTGTTACAGCGCACACAGACAGTGCCCAGTTACAGCGCGCCCACACACACACACACAGTCCCCCCCCACATGGAGTACACACACACACACAGCCCCCGGCTAGAACTCACACACACAGACACAGTGCCTTGTTACAGCACAGGCACATTTTATGCTGCCGTCTGGTGGCCAAAATTGAGTACTACCATTTAAAAACATCAAAATGATTTTTTCTGGTAATTGCAATACTTATATTCGGCCAGGAGATGGTAGCAAGAAAATAGAAAAATAATTTTCCCACGGTTATTAGGATAATTCACAAGGTAAATTTATTTTGTATTTGTTTGTCTGTGTGTATGTGTGTGTTTTACTACACTTTGGTGACAATTTTATCAAATGTAACCTATGCAAACCCACATACACACACACACTGCCCAGTTACAGCACAGACACACAGAGTCCCCGGTTAGAGCTCACACACACTCAGTGCACTGTTACAGTGCACACACACAGTACCCAGTTACAGCGTGCACACATACACACAGTCCCCAGTTACAGCGCGCGCACACACACACACACACACACACTGTGCCCACTTAGAGCACACACACATACGCACACAGTGCCCAGTTACAGCGCACACACACAGCGCCCATTTAGAGCACACACACCCACACTGTGCGCTGTTACAGCACACAAACACACACACACAGCACCCACTTAGAGCAAACACACACAGAGACCCCGATTAGAGCAAACACACACACACACACAGTGCCCTGTTACAGCGCGTGCACACACACATACACACAGTCCCCAGTTACAGCGCGCGCACACACACACACACACACAGCACCCACTTAGAGCAAACACACACAGAGACCCCGATTAGAGCTCACACACACACACACACACACACAGTGCCCTGTTACAGAGCATGCACACATACACACACAGTGCCCTGTTACAGCACACACAAACACACACTACCCACATAGAGCACACACACATACACAGTGCCCAGCTACAGTGCACGTGCACACACACACATACAGTACCGTTACAGCACACACAAGTACACACAGACACATTGCCCTGTTACAGCACACACACAGTGCCCACTTAGAGCACACACACACACACACAAAGTGCCCAGTTACAGCCCACACACACAGAGCCCATTTAGAGCACACACATCCACACACTGTGCACTGTTACAGCACACACACACACACACACAGCACCCACTTAGAGCAAACACACACACACAGTGCCCACTTAGAGCAAACACACACACACACACAGTGCCCACTTAGAACACACACACACAGTACCCACTTAGAGCACACACACACAGAGTGCCCAGTTACAGCGCGTACACA